TTTTTTTTCTCTCTGTTTTCTTTTTCTTTTTCTAAAATTTTTTAAAAATTATTTTAACTTTTCCTTTTATTCCTCTGTTTTCTTTTTCCTGCCTTCCTGTGGGTTACTTGAACTTTTTTTTAGAATTTTATTTTATCTAACACTGTTTTTGGGTATTCTGTCTGTACATTTATCTGTCAATCAGTACATTTGATTTATCACAGTCCAAGTTTTGTATATGGTGTGAGATGGAGGTCCAACTTAATTCTTTTGTGTATAGATATCCAGTTGTCCCAGGACCATTTGTTGAAAAGACTCTTTCTTTCCTCATTGAATGGTTTTGGCATCCCTGTTGAAGATCAACTGAGCATAGATATATAGGTTCTGGACTCTCAATTCTATTTATCTATATGTTTATCCTTTTGCTAGTACAACACTGTCTTGATTACTATTGATTCCTCATTGTTTGATGTAACTTTTTGTTCCTTTCTGAAATATTTTGCAGTCTATTTTTATCTGAAATTTCACAGTGATGTAACTTTGGTATCTTTTTACATTTATTATCTGAGCTTTTACATTTGAGACATATGTTCTTCAGTATTGTGAATTGTTCTTAAATTATTTCTTTGGTATTTCCTGCTTCCATCTTCTCCATTTTTTATGGAACTTGGGCGTCAACCCTCCTGGAACAATTTCGTTTTATTTCAATCTTTTCTCTCCAATCATCCATATCTTTGTCTTTTTTTGTTCTCCTTTGGGAAAGATTTCCTATTTTAATCTATTAACCCTTACATTGACTAACTCATTTCTGCTATCATATTTCTAATTCCCCCAAATTCTCTTCATTCTCTGTTCTTTTTTAAAAAATTCTAAAAAATGTTATTTTGTTTTGTTTTAATTCTTTTTACACAGATGTCATATTTTTGTCATCCCACTGAAGAACTGAATGATTTGGAGGAGAGAGGCTAAATGGAGATTTTTTCCCTCTGCCCTTTTACATTGCCTCTGTTCCCTCCAAATCCTGCTTTTCTGTTTTTGTTTTTGTTTTGTTCTGTGGCTTTTATATTAAGCCTTTCCCTCAAATGTATGGTGAACCTTGGCTGTCATTCATGTATAGGATTGAAGCTCTTTGTGGATGGGTGGCACTTGTCAAAGATTAGGTTTCACTGTACAGTCATCAGCCAGGAAACTGCCCCATTGCTCCGACCCCTCCCCTACCCCCCCAGCTAATTGTGACTATTGATAGATCTTTTCTCTTGGATGTTTAGTTTTCCAAGAGAAGATTTCTCTTAACTCCTACACAGAGGATATGTACCTGGTTTTCACAGTTCTTGGAACAGAGTCAAGGGCAGGGTTGTGTGGGAGGAGGTTCCTTACGAAGACCCATTTTCACTTAATCTTTGTTTTCGGCAGAGCACTGGGACTTTAGGGGAGCTAAATGTTTTCTAGGCCAAATTCTCTATCCTTCAGTATCTTTACGATTTCTCTTAACTCCTACACAGAGGATATGTACCTGGTTTTCACAGTTCTTGGAACAGAGTGAAGGGCAGGGTTGTGTGGGAGGAGGTTCCTTACGAAGACCCATTTTCACTTAATCATTGTTTTCGGCAGAGCACTGGGACTTTAGGGGAGCTAAATGTTTTCTAGGCCAAATTCTCTATCCTTCAGTATCTTTAGAGAGTAAAATCTGTCTTCAGCTTCAGTGTGGAAAGGGTCTCCACATAGACTTTTAACTAGTCTTCTTGTGTTCAGTCCTCCTGAAGAATGGCCTTCAGAGATGCCTCTCCTTCCTGAGTTCTTAAAGCATGACTTGACTAGCTTCTTGACTCCCAGAGCTCTCTTTTTCCTCTGTTTTTCTGAGTCTACCAGTCCAGCACTTTCCAGCCTATACAATTGTGTTGATATCTCACACCTGGATCATCTACTCTCCCATTTTCTTTGTCTTGTGCTTATGAAAAAAAAAATGCTTTACTGCTATTTTAGAGGGATTAGGGAAGGGATAGAGAGGCAAATACATACCAATGTTAATCCAGGTTGCTTTTCAAAATGACCAGTTTTTAAGATATTAATTTCTGATAACAATTCCTTAATGCGTCATATTGATATAAAAAGACATTAAGAGATATAGCTGTTTGTAATTATAGGCAATTACGGTTTGTTCGGTTGTATTTTTTACAGGACTTTAAAATGATAAATAAAGAATTAACAGCAACCAAATTCGTGGAGGTAATAGCAGAGGATAATCCTTTTATTCATGATGGAATTGACAGCAGCTTTGAACTTGAGGTTTGTAAAAGAGGTGTCACAAATGGTACAGATCCAATACAGGCTGTTTGTTTCACCTAGGATACCAAGAGCCAAGTTTTGATCAAAAATAATCTGAACCCAAACACATAAAACTACATACACACACACACATACATACACATGTGAAGGTACTTCAAAAAGTTTATGGAAAATAGAATTAAAAGATAATACTAATCTTTCCAGAACTTTTTGAAGACCCCTCATATATATATATCTCCTTGATTGCATTTGATAACTAGAAATTAATGTTAAAAAGAATATTTCAGATGTCAGGAAATAGTGAATGAATATGAAATGAACACTCAAATCAATCACGGTCCACTTCCAGGCATGTCAGAATGAATGAGACCTTCTATGTTTTCTTCTGTTTCAGCTGGTTTTCCTGGAATTCTTTGAAGCTCTTTTAAGCTTTGCACTCATCTGTGTTACTGACCAAATGACTAAATCCTATTTAAATGTTCCAAATGATGATTTGTCTGGAAACAAACATGGAAGTATTTATACACTAGTAAATCAGGTAACAAATAATATCTGAGAATTTACAGACCAAGGAATTGTTTTATTCTGAAATAGTTAAACCTTCATCATAACCTTCTTGGGCTTTTATAACCCTTTTAGGAAATAATGTGACTTAAATAACTTAAGATGTCTTTTCATATTTTGAAAGGAGTACATTGTTGTTTTTCTATTTTGGGTTAGAGAAAATGTGTTTCCTGGTCATGACCCAGGAAGTAGACTCCTAGCCACAACAGTGGAGATATCATAATGAAAGTCAGAGTGCACACCAGCATTCTGAGTGGACCGCTACGGCAGATTAGAAAATCTCTTCTATATTTTGTTGTATGTATCTAGCGTTTATAAGAGTGGAAAGCCCGTACTGAGCAAATTTGTCAAAAAACAGTTCCTGAGTGTGCATGAGGTGTTAACAGGTGTCTGAGCACGGGGCTTGCTCACAAGGAGGGACACTCTAGACTTCACTGTGAGACCTTGGCAGAACAGGTACGGAGTCAGCAATTTGTGAAGGATCCAACCTCTGGGTCAAATTGAGACAAATCCATTTTTGTTGGGGGGTTTCAGGTTAGTGAGCTTGAAGGATTTCTGATTTTTGAGACATTCATTTGGAACTGCAAGGGAGAGTCTTGGGGGCCCACTGAGCCCCATAGCTGGGAAACTCTTCAGAGCTGCTCCTATGAGGAACCTTCTCACTGTTACCCAATGAGCATCTCTTACTGTAAATCTCACAGGCTTTGGATTCCCTGTGAGGAAGCTGGGGGCTTCATGTTCAATTTCAGCACCTCATTGCCCACCACATCAGCCAGATATGCATCCTCCAGGCTGAGTATATGACTGATGGATTCTCCAAGTCATCTGGGAGCCTGGTCATAGGCCCCAGTCTGGGTCTGGGGCTGTGATGTGAGGGAAATGAATGTCCAGGGGTTGGCTGGTTAGCTCGGTTGGTTAGAGCACAGCGCTATAACACCAAAGTCGAGGGTTCGGATCCCCATACTGGCCAGCTGCCAAGAAAAGAAAGGTGTGGGGGGATGAAAGTCCACATTGAATTCATCTATGATTTCACGGAGGGCATCACCATGGATTCCAATAACATGGGTGTGAACATGCTGGTCTAGGGAACATCCTCAGAAACCATCTGTTCAAGTTCATTCCCAGTTTTCAATATAGCATTCCATGTAGTGTCTTTTCATAGACTGTAATAATAATTTGGTCCAGTGGTCAGTTTCC